CTGATGAAATCCCGACCTTTCAAAGCAATTTCCAAATGAGAAATCTACTGCACAACTTTTCTTTTATGCAGTGCTTCAGACGTCGTTTGTTCTTCTTGAATTGTCTAAATGCGCTGAAATACTAATCATTTGCATATCCCAACCTCTTCTTCCTTTCAGATGATTTTGACGTTCATACGATCACTCCTTCCTGGTGTTGCAATTTTAATGGCCAGCAGTTTATTATAAAAATATTGTGTTTTTTCCACAGAAAAAAAACGAAATTACTTTCCGAACAACCCAATATAAACATAAACTTTACTTATCACAACACCGTATAGCTGATATTTTGTGACAACTTGATTTTTTTTTATAAAAAAAGTTATTTCGAGGTCAACTCGAAAATCTACATGTGTCTGTAATTTCTCTCTCCAAATTCCACCAAATGAAAACCGATTAGAAATCTAAGCATAATTTTTTAACATGAAATTATAAAGTACTGTATATTATAAATTGTGCTTTAAAGTGACACAGGATTGTTTTAAATAATCTATAATTTATTTCAATGAGCATATTTCTGAACTAATTTAATATTTGAATGAAAATTTCAATTTTGATTTGATTTCCTGACAAAAATATTTTTGTCAGGAAATCAAAATTGCAATAAGATCATATTTTCCTGACAATTATATAATCTCATTGCGAAAATATTGTTCCAATAATCCCTGCTATACCAGAATTAAGTTTAAATTAATAAACAGTTATATATATAGTGGGTTAACGAACGTAATCTGTTCTATGTCTTTGTTCGCTATCCAAATTGTTTGTTTTAATTAAGCAATTATCAATTTACTATAGGTTTTTATGGGAATTTGATTAATTTGTTCTGAAAACTCCAAAAAATAAAAAATATAAATAAATGTAGTAAGAAAGTATACATGTAATAATAAAAATACAAATATACACAGTCTTGCATTTTTTATCAGTCGTGTTTTTTCTGTTTGTGGAGGTTAAAGAATCTGTCTAATGTCAATTGCTTTTCTCTCTTCTTCAGGATTTTTCAGAAGTAATTAATAGCGTTGTAAGCATTGTAATTGTAGATAACCCCAAGCCTATTAACCTCATCTTGGTTTGGATGTTATTCTAAGACTGTTGCTCTGATCGAGTTTCTTGGCGTTCTTCTGTCGTCAGATCAGTTTCAGTTTCCATTATGAGCTCTTCAATATTCTTTATTTCTCAGATGTGATTTTTGTTACATCCTTAAGCTGCTTGCGTCTTCTTGATTTTACAGTATCTTTCTTAGATAAGATTGAACTGCAGCCTACTGTAGATCTGTTCAAGCCATACTGCCCAGCAACATCATATATCTTCTGCCCACTCTCTCTACCTTTGTTGTTATACTCTCATCATTCAAAAATAAAAACTGACGCAAAACTTAATGAGTGCCTGCCCAACAGTCTCACAAATACTATAAAAAATTGTTTCTGTTAGAAAAATAAAAGGCTGGAATTACAAGGGAGAGTTTCAAAGTTTGGAGAATACTACCTGATTAATATATACTGGGTTGAGTGTCCATGTCCATGTCTCCCGCACTCTGAAAAGTTTGGTCTTCCCTGATCTTCAGGCAACAATTCAAATCAGTATTCATTATTTTATGTCACTTCTTCTTGTGTTTGTTCTGTGAGGTGTTCGTTATCCAAACATATGTTATCTGAACATAAAAATCTTGCACAAAAGTGTTCGTTATCCGATTTGTTCATTAACCGATCACCCACTGTATAATGTCCCAAAAGCATTTATATTTTTAGAATTTTTTGAAAAATATAAATTTAAAAATGTTTGTGTCTTTATATTAAACTGATGGCACTAAATCTGAAAATGTTACACGAATGAACTTAATGTAATTTTTTAGTCAAATAAATAATCATTATTGTATTCACCCACAGAGAATAAAAGAAAAATTCAAATTATAAAAGTTGTTTATAGCTTTGTTCTACAACTTGTTTCGAACTTACAACTATTTAAAAAATGGGGAAAAAACTGTTTACAAATGACCATTTAAGTTTAATTTTTTTATTCTTTAGCAAATACAACATAGTGACTTCAAAGCATTTATGTATTTTTTTATGTCCAAAATGTGTGAAAAGAAATATTACAAATTGAAACAGAAAGATTAGAAAATAAGGGAATAATAATGTTTTAAATTCTATATTATGTAATTTACTTAACAGAAAAACAAAGTGCCAAATTTTCAGGCTATTATATGGATAAGTTAATGATGATTAGAAGCTAATTAATTTGTCTGTCTTAACTAATTTATTATCCAAATATACATAGCTAATGTTCAGAATTCCAGAACCATTCCCCACTAGTCACATTGTTTTTGCAAATAAAAGTATTTGACTAATAAAATAGTATGTGTGCATTCATCAAATCATGAAAGGACCTCCCATGCTTTTTCATCAAACCTGAATTGAAGTTTCCTGGAGGCAATTCAAATACTGCCTAGGCTGTGTGTTAATGACTACCCACATTTTCTGTAAGTTGAACATTGTCCTTTCATCATTAAGATGTGAATTATGCATTTCACATGTACTTTGTTAGTAAATACCATAGATATAGATAATTATCTACAGAATTTGTTGTTAAGTTGCAGACCCTGCCAACATTAAAGTAGTTCATATCAGTAACCATTCAAGAAAAAAGTCTAGTGCTCATTTCACTACCAATATAACATTGCATTACACAGACTAATGTATTGAACTTATATTCTCATAACTCTGTAATGTATGAGGATGTCTCAAAATGATGCCATTTTGTCTCACACAATGAGTGCTAAATGTTAAGTGCAAGAATTTAAATCTGACTTAATGCATCAAAGTAGGCCTAAATTATAAATATATCATAGTTACAGATTATAGTACAGACTAGCAGATCTGGCCACATGTTTCTGTGGCTTAAAATATATCTATTATAAACGTATAACACTTTCACGAAGGAAGAATTGTGAAAAATCCCTTCTTAATGTACATTCTCTTGACGTACCCTATAAAACAATCAAAAATGCAAAAAACTGCATCTAAAATAGTATAATAGAAGCCAAGTTCTTTATGGTAAGCCTTAATCCTGTCTCTCTTCCCCGCGGGGGGATTTCGTCATCCATATTATACGAAAACACGCTAGTATTCAAATGCAACATTGTGTGAAAATTTCAAAGCAATCAGTGAATAACTTTTGGATATTTGAGATTAGGACCAAACTAACATTTACATTTTTATTTATATAGATTACAAATTCGGACATGTGCACTCCATATGTCACTGACCATGCCGCATGATTACCTATCTCGTATATGTACGTCTCTTTCTCCTCGCCACCCACTGACACCAAAAATATAATGCTTACCTAGATGAATCTTTTAATATACATGAATGTTTAATGGAATAATATACAGCCTGTCTACCCTGAAGGTTCATTCTAATTACTGGTGAAAGAGTTTTTTAAATCAGATGAGTAGCTTCAGAGATTACCTGCTACATCCAAACTTACAAACTTTACCTCTTTATAATATTAGTATAGAGGATGTGTCATATAAATTGTGTTGATTTACATTGTAAACATTATGTTCTTTCATAAAATATACATTTGTTTCAATAATTTCATTTGTTTTCCACCAAAATGGATGGAGACATTATTGATACTCTGTATTATTAGGTAAATTGACAATTACAAAAATAATAAATTTATTACTTATTTTTTAAATTGTATAAAGTAATATAAAACACAAATGTGATGTATCTTGTTTTTGTTTTATTTTCAAATTAGTTAGTTAAAAGTTCATGTAATATATAAAAAAGCAGAATTACCTTTTTAAATGAATTACTAAAACTTTTGGAACTTTGCAAATATTTATATTAATAAACCAAACACGCCTGATTTGTATTTGCCAAGTTATTTTCTTTATTCAAACGTTTTCGGCCTATTTGTATAGACCGTCTTCAGGCTTTAATGTTGTTCATTCCAATGGAACTACTAGTTCGAAATTCATTTGAATTTGAACTTTTAACAACTTATGTGTATAAATAAATAGTTAACAATAATATCAGAAACGTGTTGCAACTTAAACAATAACATGAAAAACGTATATATGATAAATATAATTTAAAATTGCGTTGCAATTTAACAATGAAAAACAATAACAAAAAACAAAAAATTATATCAACTTTAACTGAGTCTTAACTACTAATTTCTAAAAACTCCAGATCATAAAAATGTTTATGGATTATTAAAACCCATACTGTTTTCAATTTTATATTTCCAAGCCATTGGTAATGCATTTGCATTTTTTGCACTTAGGCATCTATCCCTCATCTTACTTTTGTAAATCTCTATTTTTTCCATTTCCATTGCGAAGATTGTTAGAACGGATGCCAAGATTGTTAGAACAGGGCACTCACCTTCCATCGCAATGGAAATAGAAAAAATAGAGATTTACAAAAGTAAGATGAGGGACAGATGCCTAAATGCAAAAGCATTACCAACGGCTTGGAAATATAAAATTAAAAACAGTATGGGTTTTAATAATCCATAAACATTTTTATGATCTGGAATTTTTAGGAATTAGTAGTTCAGACTCAGTTAAAGTTGATATAATTTTTTGTTTTTGTTTTTCATTGTTAAATTGCAACGCAATTTTAGATTATATTTATCATATATTTATTTTTAATTTACGTTTTTCATGTTATTGTTAAGTTGCAACACGTTTTTGATATTATTGTTAACTATTTATTTATACACATAAGTTGTTAAAAGTTCAAATTCAAATGAATTTTGAACTAGTAGTTCCATTGGAACAAACAACGTTAAAGCCTGAAGATGGCCTATACAAATAGGCCGAAAACATTCAAATAAAGAAAATAATTTGGCAAATACAAATCAGGTGTGTTTGGCTTATTAATATAAATAGCTAATATTGCTGAGAAGTTAGATAGATACTTTGCAAATAGTCATTTGTTTTTTTGATTCTCTTTTCTGAGCACATTTCAGACAATTCCAAGCTGCATCTCCTTTCATTATTTCTTCTTTCAAGAAAACTTATAAACAATCCTAAAAAGAGTTGATTTTTTTTTTTACTATTTATTAATCTTTTTTCCAATATTTTAAAAATTAAAAAAATTTGACACACTAAATGTATATGTAATATTAACATTACTATTCAGTATTTCTACAAAAATGGACAGAATATATTCTCTTCATTTTTGTTTTACTTGTAGTAATTCATAATGAAGACATCAATCATTTTTAAGAAGCTCAATATAATAGTGATAACTATTTAAGTCATTTGATTCTAACTGTTATAAAAAAAATTTACATTCTAAGTTCTTTTTTGAAACTTATACTTTTTTTTTAATTTTGAAGATAGACTAATTAAAACATAGCAAACTAAATTAAATAGTGTTTAAAACTACATCAAATGAGGCAATTCTATGTAATAAAGCCTTAAGTTGATTGAATGTTCACTGAGATTATTAAATGTAAAATTAATTTTTTTAAATTTATTAAACTTACTTTTAAATAACTTTTTTTATATGAAGGAATTGGTAGTGCGATTGTTGAAAATACTTCATAGCTATTAGATGTTTTTTGCAATAAAACACATTAATTCTGATTGAAGTAAACCTTCAAATAAACTTGAAATAATTGATTTATTCAAATTAGTGTGATTTTTCCCAAAACTTCTCCTGATCTTCAAATTAAATCTTCAATCTTTGTTTTGGAGAAATATAACAATTAAAATCATATGAATTTTTAATTGTAATTTATCTAATGAAATATATTTACCTTTTTATTCCAATGAAACTGTGTTTTTTTTCCCCCCTTTTACTTTTCAAAGACACAATGTAGTGACACTTTTTAAACACTTGGCAGATTATTCATCTTTTATTAGGTTGGTTATTAGGCCAACCTAATAAAAGATAATCTGCCAAGTGTTTAAAAGTGTCACTACATTGTGTCTATAAAAAGTAAAAGGGAATATACAGTAGATCCCCCTATAAAACCGTTTCCTATAGTTATGATTCCTATAAAAATTGTAGCAGTATCCGTAAACAACGGTAAAAATAACTCCCATAATACGTAAAACGTCATCGGGCAGCCGAACTACTTTCCCGCCGTCCGTAACGCCACGCTACGGACGTTTAGGCGGATAAATTGAGTTTAGTATCGTCTGTTCATATAATTATATATAAATTAGGTACTGTACATATAATTATATATTAATTATATATAAATTAGGTACTGTATATATAATTATATATTAACTTAATTTATTGTAACTTTATTATAATTAAATATATATTTTTCGCCGTCTAGCGTCACGCTACGGCGAGTTAGGCGACCTATCGTCTGTCCAGTACTGTAATTTTATACATTTCTTGTGAAAGAAACATTTCTTATTTAACGGCCATAAAAATTATTTATATTAAGGATGTCTCCAAAGGTCAACGAAGTTTTCGCAGAAAAATAATATCAGAAATCGCGGCCGC